GTTTCACACTTCTGAGTATTTTGGAGACTGTGCCTTCTACACTAAGGAGATGTCAGCCTTGCACAAATGGGTTAAAGATGGGTCTCCAGCTGCAAGGGGATGACTGGATGACTTTCCTGAAATAGATACAAAGCCTGTCTCGGCTCTCTGCCTATAGCACAAAGGCTCAGAAAATGAACTGCCCACAGGCCCAGCCAGAGGCTTCTTGGAGTCCTGCTTATTCCAGTATCAGATCAGAAGCCACTGTTGGCCTTGGGCAAGTCACCTCGAAGCCCTTGGGCTGCCTCTGTCTGCTCATCTGTCAAATGGGTAGGATTTGCCCAGCCTGAGCAGCCTGACCTATTTAAGTAAGATCAGAAGGGCCAATGAGAATCTCAAAGAAAAGTCAAAAAAAGACTGCCAGGTGTTGTTCTGGTAATTCTTCTGTATTCTTCCTCACTAAACATTGGGAGAAGCTTTCCTTGTCTGTAATACCAAGAATCCCTGCTCTGTACTTAGTGGCAGGGCCCCGTCTCTAAATCTCAGTTCTCTGATCTGTGAAATGGGATGAGAGAATGATAGAATCTGCCATTCAGGCTGCCTTAGCAGTGTGTGACCCAGAAACAAATCCTAAGTCAAATGGCAGCCATTATTATTGTTCTTGTCATTATTATTATTAATCCCAGAGGAGGCAGTGATCTGCAGGGTTATGAAATCACCCACATGGATCGAGGAACGTTTTGCACAAACATCCCCAGCTATCAAAACACCTAAACATCCCAGTGGTGGCGCTGTCAGCGTTGCCAGGGACTGTCTGGGGGCCATACAACAAAGTCACATTGCCCCCGTTTGACAGGATGCCCAGTGCCTGCTAAGGCACCCTCTTGTGCAGCCCAGAACAACAGAACATCAAATTCCAGAAAGTTCCCAAGTCTCAGGGATTTCCAAGCAGAGGAACAGACAGATTGGCTGAGGTGGGCTTCCTGGAGGCCTGCCTGGCTTTCCAAGTTTAAGATCCAGGGAGCAGCAATGACAGCCAGCTCTCAAAGGCGTACGGGTCCACCCCTCCTCCCTTGAGCCACCCCACAGGCTGTACCCCCACATTATGGTCCTCACTGTCACCTTCAGCAAACTCTCCACCTGAAATCCCAGCCCCAAAAGAAGGAAGGAGGGGAGCCTCAGGGAGAGGCAGCCACCTACTTGGGTCTCTCGGTCAGTGCCAGTCAGGATACCCATGAGCAGGGGTTCAGCTGGGGGCTGTGACATTCATCCCAAGCCGGAGTCGGTGCATGTACATGGAGACTTGAGAGAGCACCGGCCCAGCCACGAGTCCAGCTCCTGAGCCCAGCTCCTGAGCCAGGGTGACTCCAGTGGCAGAGGAGCCACCAATCCTTCCTGCTTCTAATCAGATTGAGGGAATGTGCAAGGAACTGCAGAAGCGCCCCCAGGGAGGCCAGGTGGGACCAAAAGGCCGAAGTTGCTAGGGAAAGCGGAGCTGTTGCCTGCAGAGACCAGGTTGCTAGACAACCATCTGCCCGCGACCGGGACCTTTGCGTCATCAGTAACCTGTACCTCTGCAAAGCTGCCCAAGAGCATCCTTCCCAGTCAGTGACAGCCCAGCTCTGCTTGCCCTGGGCCTCACACCCTCTGGCCCTGGCCCTGTGATCACCCACTCGATCACTCACTTGTCCCTTCCTGGGCCTGGAGCCCAAAAGTTCCCAGAGTTGAAAACTCTGGGTGAACATTTGTATAAAGACATACATGCCTGCAGCATCTGCGGGGAACTCCGGAACCATGTGCATGTGTGCAAAGCTGTCGTGTGCACACATGTATGAACATGTATGAGTGTGCTGCCCGTGCTTGTGCATATATGCAGGATGTGTGTGCATATACATGTGTGCATGCCTGTACATGCTGTGTGCATAACCCAGCATGTATGTCTGTCAGTGTGCTGGTGCATGCATGTATAGTGCAGCTATGTATGTGTGTGCCCATGTGTACTGCATTCTGAGAACATGTGTATAGTTAGTGCACATGTGCACATGCCTGTATGTGAGCATAGTTGGTCACTGGCCTTGAAAGGGTGTCTCAGCTCCAGAGCACTGGCAAATATAGGGTTTTTCTGGCCTGGGTGTTAGGTGTACAAGTTCAGCAAGGGAGCCACTCATAGCTATGCACTCCACACAGAGACAGGGAGAGGGCAGAGGGCAAACAAGTTGCTCTAATGAAACCAGCAGCAGCTAAGTTCTTCACCTCGAGGGGACTGCATGGAGGCCCACAAGGCAGAATTAGGACAAGCCGGGAAGGGACAGGAGCTATAGGGAAGCAGGCTCAGTTTTGGTGTAAGCAATAATTTCACAGGTCAGAGAGGCATATGGATGAAATGGACGGTCTTTGAGAGGTTGTGAACTCTCCGTCACTGGAGGTAAACAAGCAGAGGCTGTGTGGCCTCCTGTAAAGGGTGGAAAGAGTCTATGTGAACTGAGTAAGTCTAATGTGAACTGAGTAAGTAAGTCTACGTGAACTGAGTAAGTCTACGTGAACTGAGTAAGTCTACGTGAACTGAGTAAGTAAGTCTATGTGAACTGAGTAAGTCTATGTGAACTGAGTAAGTCTACGTGAACTGAGTAAGTCTATGTGAACTGAGTAAGTCTATGTGAACTGAGTAAGTAAGTCTACGTGAACTGAGTAAGTCTACGTGAACTGAGTAAGTCTACGTGAACTGAGTAAGTCTATGTGAACTGAGTAAGTAAGTCTACGTGAACTGAGTAAGTCTACGTGAACTGAGTAAGTCTACGTGAACTGAGTAAGTCTACGTGAACTAAGTCTACGTGAACTGAGTAAGTCTACGTGAACTGAGTAAGTCTACGTGAACTAAGTCTACGTGAACTGAGTAAGTCTACGTGAACTGAGTAAGTCTACGTGAACTGAGTAAGTCTACGTGAACTGAGTAAGTAAGTCTACGTGAACTGAGTAAGTCTACGTGAACTGAGTAAGTCTACGTGAACTGAGTAAGTCTACGTGAACTGGGTAAGTCTACGTGAACTGGGTAAGTCTACGTGAACTGAGTAAGTAAGTCTACGTGAACTGAGTAAGTCTACGTGAACTGGGTAAGTCTACGTGAACTGAGTAAGTAAGTCTACGTGAACTGAGTAAGTCTACGTGAACTGAGTAAGTCTACGTGAACTGAGTAAGTAAGTCTACGTGAACTGAGTAAGTCTACGTGAACTGAGTAAGTCTACGTGAACTGAGTAAGTAAGTCTACGTGAACTGGGTAAGTCTACGTGAACTGAGTAAGTCTACGTGAACTACGGACTAAAAGCAGATGACACTGAACAGGCTTCCAGCTCTGAAATCCTGTTTAACTATTTCCTGACTGGAACGAAAAGAGACCCTCTTAGGGGATAAGAACATCAGTGGCCATTGATGGGGCACTTACCCCAGGCCTGGCCCTGATGACCCCTCTGCAGGAGGCTTTTGTTATCCCCCATTTTACAGATGTGGAGGCAGAAGCTCTGAGCGGGTACACCACTTGCCCCAGTCATTTCACTAACAGAAGCAAAGTGACATTAGCATTTCTGAGGCCCAAATCTGTGCTCCTAACACTCATGTTGCCATCCTGTCTCAGGCCATGGCCAGAGGAACAGGTCAGGGAGAAGGGGTGCAGGCCCCAAGGTACCATAGTGGGCAGAGAGACAGGGGCATAATGCCAGGGGACTGGAGCACGAGCAGAGTAACTTACTATCACCTGATCCACCATAACAGCCTCCTCACTGTTCTCCCTGCCTCAATCTTTCTCCAACACAGCTGCCAGATCATGCCACTCTCCTGCTCAAGAACCTTCGATGGCTCCCTATTGCCTTTGGGAAAACAAGTACAAGGCTTTATGACCTGCTTTTGAAGCAGTACTTCTTTCCTCCTCCTCCTCCTCTTCCTCCTCCTCCTCCTCCTCCTCCTCCTCCTCCCCCCTCCCCCTCCCCTCCCCCTCCCCCCTCCCCCTCCCCTCCCCCTCCCCCTCCCCCTCCTCCTCCTCCTTTTTAAGTAGAGACAGGTTTTGCTATATTGGCTAGGCTGGTCTCGATCTCTTGGTTTCAAGTGATCCAACTGCCCGGCCTCCCAGAGTGCTGGGATTACAGACGTGAGCCACCACGCCCAGCTGACCTTCTTGAAACACTAACTTGTCTTCTGGGCCCCACACTCTTCTTGTCTCTTCCCTGCTCACTGGCTCCTCCTTCTCAGTCCTTTTTGCTTCCTCATCTCCCCAACGTCTGGCCTTGCCCATGAGCGTCCCTCTATCCACACTCACTCCCTGAACATCTCGAGCCCTATAGTTTTCAGTGCCACCTACATGCCCAGAATCCCAATGTCACATCTCCAGCGCCACCTCTCCCTGGCCTAACTCCAGGCACAGATGTGTCCAGCTGCCTCCTGTTCATCCGTCTGTTACCTGATCTCATTTTTACCTTTGATTTTAACTCAACTCTTCTGTGTGTTTAACGTTGAAATCTATGGATATGGACGGATGATCAACCATTCCTGGGCAGTAGAGCAGAACCCAAGACATTCCCAGAAGGCATCAAAGGCAACCACGGTGGAGGCATATGGAGGGCAGTCCTGGGTTTGTGAATAACAGGAGAACTGGGAGCCCACTGCGTATATCCATTCATACATCCATTCATGCAGTCAACTAACATTTATTTGGTGCCTACTGTGTACCAGGCACTGTTCTAGGCTCTGGGAACAAGGCAGTGAAAGCCACAGATGAAAGTCCCAGCCCTCTTGGAGGCTGCATTGTAGTGTCTGTAGAGGGAGGTGGAGTGGTGGGTAATATGATTCCCAGGTCATTATGAGCACAGCAGGGGGACCCCAGCTTCTCCCAGCCTCTCTGGTCAAAGCCCAGCCTCACACAGCACAGAACAACAGAAAGGAGCTCTGTTGAGCAGCAGAGAGTGCCCAGACCCCAGGAGTTCAGCCAACCCCAGCCCCAGGGCCAACCCCAGCCAGGTGGGGAAATCACTTACTCAGTCACCTCCTCCTGCTCCTCCTCCTCCTCCTCTTCCTCTTCCTCCTCATCTTCTTTCTCCTCTTCAATCCGGGACAGCTCCCTGAGTTGGGGTTAGAGGCAGGAGGTGAGCCCACCTGAAGCTGCCCCCCAGTCTACCTGCTGCCCCATTTTCTGTAGGATGTCCCATGACTCCCGAGCTCAGACCTGGACCCTCCAACTAAGGCTCAACCTGGGGAGCCCCAGCTGAGCAACCCTCTCCTCTGCATGAGGGGACTGTTCCAGCCACTGTGTTAGTGGTGACCGTAGGTCAGCCTCTGATCCTCTCTGGGCCTCAGTTTCCCCACCTTAGCTGTGTAAGTTATGAGCTTCAGAACACAAGACCCCCCACTGTCACCAAGCATCTCTAGTAGGAAGAAAGATTGTGACATCCCTATGGAAGGCAATTTGCAAATCATAGCCACAATTCCACATTCCCATGACCACTGACCCAGCAATTCTCTTCTAGAACTCTCCTGCAGATGTACTCACACACGTGCAAAGACACGCATACAAAAGTGCCTATTTTGGAAGGTACTTTTGTATGCAGGGGACCTGTTGCAGAATTGTTCATAACAAAATTTTGGAAACAACCTAAATGTTCATCAAGAGTGAAAGGTTTAATAAATTACGGTACAGCCATTTGATGGCATACTATGCAGCATGGAAAAATGAAGATGCTCTCTATATCCTGAATGTGAAAAGATCTCAAGGTATACTGTTGAATGAATATAGTGAGGTACAGATAGGTACGGGTGATGTGCTACCTTCTGTACAAAAAAAAAGGAAAAAAATGGAGGGAGATGCGAGCTTGCATATGCCCAGACTGTCTCTGCAGTGGCACATAGGAACCCAGTAGCTTGTGTACTCATGGGAGAAGGATGGGTATAAGGCAGGGGGAAGCAGGCTTGGTTCCTGCTCTGTGCCTTTGTATAGCTTGAGATAAGGTGCTGCATGCTTGGTACCTTCTCAAACAATAACTAATTTTTTAGGATCTTCTCAGACTCCCCACCTGGGCATCTTCTCCACGGCTTTGTTCTCTTCTTCATAAGCTGGAACCACCTCTGTACTCTGCAGGCTGGTACTGACATCCTGGCAGGCACCCTCCCAGTGTGGTTCAACCTCCTCTAGGACGAGGTCAGGCTCCACTTGCCCTCCAGGAAGGATGCTGACTGCAGGGAACACAGGAAAAGCTGTTTGTGGGATGTGCAGGAGCGTGGGCTTGGGCCTCCAGGTCCCAGGGAGCCCACGGGGAGCCCCGGCCATCACCAGCAGTGCATCAGTGCTTACTTGTGCAGTGGGGAAATGGCGCTTTCCATTTGCAGCAGGACCAGATCAGTGTTCAGGTGATGGGTTGAACCCTGCGCTCAATCACTCTGTCTCCATTATTTTCCCCCTTTCCTCTTGAGACAGAACTTTGATGATGGTTGATCCTGTTTGTTTCTCACTGGGGCCTCCTTAAAGATTTGTGGGCCGGGCACAGTGGCTCATGCTGTAATCCCAGCACTTTGGGAGGCTGAGGCGGGCAGATCACCTCAGGTCAGGAGATTGAGACAATCCTGGCCAACATGGTAAAACCCCGTCTCTACTAAAAATACAAAAATTAGTGGGGTGTGGTGGTGTGTGCTTGTAGTCCCAGCTACTCAGGAGGCTGAGGCAGGAGAATCGCTTGAACCAAGGAGTCAGAGGTTGCAGTGAGCCGAGATCACATCACTGCACTCCAGCCTGGTGACAGAGCGAGACTCTGTCTCAAAAAAAAAAAAAAAAAAAAGATTTGTGCAGAGGCAGAAACAATGCTTCACAGCATCACAGGGATGCCAAAAGGCCCAGGTTCAGGGTCCACCTGGCCACATCCAGGTACAGTGACCCGGATTGTCCTGAGGGAAGCAGAGAGAGTTTGCCCTCTCCCTGCTCTATAGATGCCACCCTCTGGTGACAGCATGCACACATGCCTGGCATTTGCTTCTGAGAGTCCTTCCCTTCCTCCTGGGCCTAGAAGAAATTCAACTTTCTCATGGGGGTGGCCCCAGCTTCAGATGGGAGTCTGTAATTTTCAACATTTCTTTACTTACCCTGGTCCTTGACAACAAAAACACCCTGGGCCTGTGAGCTTGGCAGATGCTCAAAGGGAGTGCAGGGGCATCTCGTCAGAAACCTAAGCCTACCCCCAGGCAGGTGTCAGGGACAAAGGACAATGCTTGGGTACCAGGTGTCCCCAAAAAGCTCCAGGGATCTTGGTGGCTCTCAGCCAAACATGAATTAGTAATAGTGACTGTTGTTGAGACAGGGTCTTGCTCTGTCGCGCAGGCTGGAATGCACTGGTGCAATCATGGCTCACTGCAGCCTCCACCTCCAGGTGGGCCACCATCCCCAGGTGGTAGTAATGGTGACTTTAAATGGAAGCTGGCCTCAAGTCTGACCCTGAGACTTCGGCTGTTATTGCTTGTGATGTTGCATAAAAACAATAATAATAACAGCAGCTGCATTTTCTAGCACTTCCTATGTGCCAGGCCCTGTGCTGAGTGATTTACATGGAATAACTCGATTAGTCCCCGCATCAATTTTTCAAGCTTATAATTAGCATCCCCATTTTATTTTCCCTCTTTTATATTTTACTCCCCATTTTAGATGAGCAAACTGAGACACAGATAAACACCTCCTTTTATGGGGTACTTCCCATGTGCTGAGCATACAGATATTATCCCTGTCTCATAGATGAGGTGCTGCCTGCCCTCTAGGGGAGCCCCAAGGCATCCCGAACTGGCTGTTTCCATGGTGGCTTTGGCTCCTCTGGCCCTGCAAACATCTCTGGGGTTTGGCCAGGGAGGCTCCTCTAAGTGTGACCCTGAATCCGGTGGTGGGGCGCATCATCCACCTCAGTCTGTGCTGCTGTCCAGCAGTGCTACAGTGTCTCCACTCTGGGCAGCCCCTTGGGGTACAGGTTCCTGCCCAGACATAGCAGGGAACATCCAGGGAACAGAATGTCTTGTCTGTCAGCAGGTGAGCTTTCACAGAAGCCCCAAAGGGCAGGAATAGTACTCTCCCCCTTTTAAGAGAGCTAGCTCAGAGAGGCTGAGTATCTTGTGCCTGGCCACATGGGAAGGTAGAGGCAGAGCCAGGTCCCCTGACTACTGTTTTCCTGTGCACCATCGCCGGTGATAAATGTGCCCGTGAGCACCTCACCGGCATCAGCGGCCGTCCTTAAGAATTGATGTTGGGCCGGGTGCGGTGGCTCATGCCTGTAATCCCAGCACTTCGGGAGGCCGAGGCAGGTGGATCACTAGGTCAAGAGATTGAGACCATCCTGGTCAATGTGGTGAAACCCCGTCTCTACTAAAAATACAAAACTTAGCTGGGCATGGTGGCGCAGCCTGTAGTCCCAGCTACTTGGGAAGCTGAGGCAGGAGAATTGCTTGAACCCAGGAGGCGGAGGGTGCAGTGAGCTGAGATCACACCACTGCACTCCAGCCTGGGTGTTGCAGCGAGACTCCGTCTCAAAAAAAAAAAAAGAATTGATGTTGCCCTGGCTTCCACACTTGCTTTCCCTTCCATTAACCTTTTTTCTTTTTAGGTCATGTTTTAGTGAGCGGGCGTTTTACAAGCATTTCCTCTTTTTTTTTTTTTTGAGACGGAGTCCCGCTGCAACACCCAGGCTGGAGTGCAGTGGTGTGATCTCAGCTCACTGCACCCTCTGCCTCCCAGGTTCAAGCGACTCTCCTGCCTCGGCCTCCCAAGTAGCTGGGATTACAGGTGCATGCCACCACACTCAGCTAATTTTTGTATTTTTAGTAGAAACAGCGTTTCACCATATTGGCCAGGCTGGTCTAACTCCTGACCTCGTGATCCACCCACCTTAGCCTCCCAAAGTGCTGGGATTACAGGAGTGAGCCACCATGCCTGGCCTCATTTCCTCTTTTCATCTCTGCAGCAGGCCTGCAAGGCATATCCTATACTGTTCCCATTTTACAGCTAAAAGTTCTGCAGCTCTGAGAGGATGGTGCCCAAAGTCACTGACCTGGAAGGGGGGGATGGGGTATGCTGCCACACAGCCCCCAGGGCAGGCCCCCAGGAGGCCTGGCACAGGAGCCGCTGGCCCACCCCTGGAGCTCCAAGTGCTCTTCTCTGTAGGTGTCTGATTCATAGCTCACCCAGCTTCTCTGCGGCCCTACCCAGGTGCCCAGGAGCTATGGGTGCTCCAGTTCCCATAGAAACTGCCATTCCACCCTGGCACACCACCTCCTGGTCAGTTGCCTCTCTGCCCTCAGGCTATCAAATAAGGTTCTGACCCCAGCCAGTGAAGTCAGCAGCCTCATGTGGGAAGGAGCCCCTGCTTTCAGGATCAGCAGGCAGGAGCCTGGGCACGTGGGTTCTAGGCTAAGGCCCCCACCTGGACTCCTGGGTCTCTGTCAAAGCCTGAGCCCTAACTCCAAACCTCCATCCTTTCTGGCAGGCCTGGATCCTGATACCTCCCTCCCTGCCTCTCCCTGGTCCAGGCTCACATCTCTTCTCACCTGGCCCAAAGCACTAACCTCTCACTGGGTGTTTCTCAAAGTATGGTCCCATCCTCTCCCTCATCGTCGGAATCATCTGAAGAGGCAGGTACTTCTCAAAAAAGCAGATTCTTCCATAACCATTGCTTGGTCGTCAAAAAAAAAAAAAAAAAAAGACAGACTCCCAGCTTCCTGTACTCTTGAATCAGAAAGTCTGGGGTAGGACCTTCTTCATAGTTGGCCCCAGGAGCTTTGGAGGGGGCCCTACTTTGATTGCTTTCCCTGTCTCCAATGCTTGCTCAGCCCCAGAGTCATTTTTCTGGAGTCACTCCCCTGCTCAATCACCTTCAATGGCTCCCCATTGCCTATAGCCTAGTCTCCTAAAGTCAGGCCCCAGTTTCTCTAGTTTTATCTTCTACATGAAGGACGCTGGGCTCCAGATTAGCCGAAGTCTCACCACTCTCTGTATACCACACTTCATTAGCTCTACTGGGATCACCCCACCTCATCACCAGTTTGAGACCTCATGGATCTCAATCCCAAAGGCCTGCCCAGCCAGGGCAATGATGTATACAAATGAAGGGGCAGGTGCCACCTTTCTGCAGGCGCCAGCAGCTGCTCAGACTCTCCTCATAAGCATAGTGCGGGCCCATTACAGCCAGGTCTACCCGGTTTCTGAGAGAAGCCAGATCTTTTCATGTAAAGCTACCTGATTTTTAAATGTTGGCAACCGATTCTAATTTTTAAAATTACTCCATGGCCCAAACAAAGACACATGCAGGCCAGCTGGGAGCCAGGACCCCTGGCTCAGGACCCCTGGCTAATTCCTCCCCTCCTGCAACCCAATACCCCAAGCCAAGGCCTATTCAGTCCGCCCATGTTTAAAACTGAAACCCTTCTTTTAGCTTTATCCTAAGCAATAATATCATGCAATCACAGGTTTGATGTGCTCATTTATGCTCTTTTAATGTTAATGAAAATATTTGCTGCTACTCACTGGTGTCCCCAAGCCTTGGAAGGAGAGAGCATGGCCAGGCCTAGTGAGAAACCTCTCTGGGAAAAACTGTATGCTGTCGAGGTGCTGACTGTGCCAGGTACCACACTGGGGGCTGTGCACGCATCCTCTCAAAGAGATGCTCCATACTGAGTCCTCCACCTATGGGGCTTTTTTTCCATTAATTAAAAAAAGGGTTTTTTAGGCTGGGCATGGTGGCTCACACCTGTAATCCCAGCACTTCGGGAGGCCGAGGCAGGTGGATGACCTGAGGTCAGGAGTTCAAGACCAGGGTGGCCAACATGGTGAAACCATGTGTCTACTAACAATACAAAAAATTAGCTGGGCATAGTGGTGTATGCCTGTAGTCCCAGCTACTCAGGAGGCTGAGGCAGGAGAATCACTTGAACTCGGGAGGCAGAGGTTGCAGTGAGCCAAGATCATGTCACTGTACTCCAGCCTGGCCTACAAGAATGAAACTCCACCTCAAAAAAAAGGGTTATTTTAGACACAGGGTCTCACTGTGTAGCCCACAGTGGTCTCAAACTTCTGGGCTCAAGCAATCCTCCTGTGTCAGCCTCCCAAAGTGCTGGGATTACAGGCGTGAGCCACGGCACCCAGCTATGGGGCTTTTCCACAGCCCTCTGGGGGTAGTCCTCCTGCTATCTAGCCTAAATCTCAAAGGCTGAGCATGGCTGGCCTTCTCCTTATTCTGGTCTGGAAGTCTCTGGGTCTGGTGCAGGTGAGTCTGGCTCCCCTTGTTCTGCCTGGAAGTGTGTGGAGAGGGAGGGGTTCGCTGTTGAAATAGGGTGGGGTGTCAGTGGCCACCTCCCCCCGAAGGTCTTCTCTTCAGAACATCCTTCTTTCCTCCTTCCATCCATCCATGTGTCCATCTGAGCTCTCCCAGATTCCCTTCTCCCTTGTTTCAGAGGCCTCCAGCTCCCATCACCCCTGAAACAAAGGAGAAGACAGGGTGGGTGGCTGGGTGGACAGGCGGAGGGAATGAATGAGTGAGTGGATGAGTGAATGGATGGGGAGGGTAGGGGACACATAACCCCCAGCCCCTCAGAGTCTCCCCGTGAACTGGGACGTGAGTGGAATAGTGTCTCCCAAAAAGATAATTCGACGTCCTAACCCCATTACCTGTGAATGTGACCTTATTTGGAAATAGCTTCTTTGTGGGTGTGATTAAGTTAAGAATCTCAAAGTGAGATCATCCCGGATTTAGGATGGGCCCTAAATCCAATGACTGATGTCCTTATAAAAGAACCGAGAGCAGGGGCTTGGCATCTGTGTAGAGATGGAGGCAGGGACTGGAGGACAGCCAGAAGCCAAGGACCGCAAGTGGCTACCAGGAGCAAGGAGTGGGGCATAGGCGTGTCTTGCGCAGAGCCCCAGGAGGAGCCAACCCTGCTAAGGCCTTGATCCTGGACTTCTGGCTCCTGAACTGTGGTAGAATCAGTGTCTGTTGTTCTCGCTGCCTGGTGTATGCACATCTGTTACGACCGCCCTAGAAGATGAAACCAAGCCAGCTCCCCACCCTGTCCTCAAGAGCCGGCCCCCGTGGCCACTCAGCATCCACCCAGCGTCCACCCATAACCCATATGCTCTGGGAACTGCAGGGAGGCCCTGGCCACAGCTGTCAGGGAATCCTGCCTCCTTCCAGAGGGGAAGAGAAGAGGGTTCTGGTGTTCCATCCTCAGGTGCAAACCCCTGAGGGTTCTCTGCCGCAAGGAAATGTTTTTGGTTTCTTTCAGCTGCTGCTGCCAGGCCAGGTGGACTTGATTTGCTCTGTGACCTGGGGCAGGTGCTTTTGGTTCTCTGAGCTCTGCCCCCTGCCTGCCCCAGCAGCCATGAGGGTCTCTGCTCTGCCACCCCAGGTAGGCCATGAGTGTGCATGAGAGACTGAGCATGCCCTGCTCTGAGACAGGCCAGCTCTCCTCCTCATGTCATTGCCATTGTTACCATCAACCCTAACGCTCCCCACGTTTCTGCATCAGACTTGAGCTCCACAATCCAATGGCCTATGTGTGCTCCAGGCCATGGCGGCCACCCCCAGCTTCAGGGCGCTCATGGAGACCACATCAGCCTAGTGGAGCTGGGGCTGGACACAGTCTTGCAGACACAGGGCAGAGCTCAGAGCCCTGGGACACCCTGAGGCCTGGAACAGAGGATGCCACCACCCACAGCCCCTGAATTCTGCTCACTATGAAAACCCATCACAGGGCTGGCACATAGTAGGCTGTCCTTAACTATGAATGAATGAATGAATGAATGAATGAATGAATGAATGAATGCCTGTCCACTGCATGCCTCTCTGGAGGCCATGAAGTGAAGAAAGAACAGATCCTGCCCCAGCCCCTTCCTGGTCTCAGTCCTTGTCCCAGATTCCTGGCTCAGGGCTAAGATAAAGGGCATCACATGCCTCCCCAGCCCAGCTGCAGGTGAGGAGGACCCCTCACCTCAAGGGAACTTGAGGCTGTGAGCCTGGTTTCCCCAGGGAGACCCCACCCTTCTCCTCTCGTCTTGGCCAAACCCATTTTCCCAGCTGCCAGGGGATGGGAGAAGCTCTCTGGGCAGTACCAATAGGAAGGTGAGCTCATCTGACTTGGCCCTGGGACTGTTTTCTTGGGATAGAAGCTGGAAGCCAGGCTCCAGGGGCCCCCAGTCACTGGGCCGGCTCTGGGCCGGCTCTGGCTACCCAGCCAGGCTGACCAGAGGTGTGGCCTGCAGAGCATAGAGCTCTCTCAGCTCCAGCCTAGGAGACCTGAACTGCCCTGTATGAGTCCAGGTCTAGCCAGGGACAGCCCCCCTGCCCACATACAGTCAGACCCAAGGACATCCAGCAACCCTGCCTAACATGCACACAGGGACCTAGTCATGTGTCACTTACTGGTTTGCACGTTACACATCCCAGGGGAGTCAGGCTCCTGCATGGAGAGAAAAAGGAAAAATCCTCACCAGCCTCCCCGTTTCAGCCACCCCTTCCAGCACGTGTGTGACCTTGACCCACCTCTCTGGGCCTCAGTTGTCCCATGGAATGGAGAAGAGAGTCCCTCCTGTGCCCAGGGCCAGGGAAGGAGTTGAGATGGGAGAGGGGGCTTTGAGAGCTCGAGCCTTGGCCCAAGTGAAGGAAGGTGGGGGTGACCCCAGACAGCCACAGCAGTGCCACCTGCTCAGAGCCAGGCCGAGCACTTGAGTGGCACAAAGGCCCAGGACCTGGCCGGGCCTTCCTTTCTCTGGGGCCTAGACAGCTTTATTTACAAAACCCTTTACCTGCCTTCTCACAGCCCTGGGTATGAGAACGTCGGTAGAGAGTTCTGTAAACAAAGAACTGACCGTTGCTCCACCGGGACAACTGAGGTTCTGAGAGGGCCAGGGCCGAGGCCACACAGCCGGGAGAGAGACCAGGCCTCCCGCCAGCCAGTTCCAGGTGCTTCTAGAAAGACATCCAATTGCAGCCAAGAAAACAAGGGCCAGGTTCCTGGTTCTTGGGGAGGGAGAGGTAGGAGTGACAGAGCCCGGCCACTCATGTTGGAGCCGGCCGGGCATGTTGGAGCCCTATATCAGGAAAGCACACAGGGCCTGCCGGCTCCTGTGAGCCTCACTTCTTCCTGGAATCTGGGGATCTCTCATCTCTGAACCTTTGCACATGTTTGGAGGCTACCTCCACTCTCCCGAAGCCTTCCCTGATGCTCCCAGGAGTCTCCACCTCTGCGCCCCATGTCCTCTCTGCTCCCCCATGGAAGTGCCTCCCCCACTGACTAAACTCCTGGCAGGCATGGCTGGGCCAGCACATCTCAGCCCTGTGGCCACCGTGCCTCAGATAGTATGGATACTGAACATGGGCCATGCAGACAGGAAGGCTGGGGAAGCTGGGCTCCTGCTACAGGGTCCCTTCTTCCTGCTGTGCCTTCATACCCCAGGGACACAGGCCAACTATCCTCCTCCTTACCTGAGTTCCCAAGACCCCTCCCACCACCACCAGGCCCCCACTCCATGTGCCCAGCACTGACCTGTTCCCCTGTTTTCCCATGTAGCACTGGCTGCGGCAAGGCCATCTCCAGCCTGTGCAGGACCCATGCCACCAGCCTATAGGTAAGAGAGAGCGTACTGTGTCCAGTGGGAAGGCTCATGGGGATACTGAGGCTGGAGGCAGCTCATTTCCAAGGCAGAAAACAAGCCTATCAGCTGAGCGCAGTGGCTCACGCCTGTAATCTCAGCATTTTGGGAGGTCAAAGCTGGCGGATCACAAGGTCAAGAGATCAAGACCATCCTGGCCAACATGTCTCTACTAAAAATACAAAATATTAGCTGGGCATGGTGGCGCGCGCCTGTAGTCCCAGCTACTCCGGAGGCTGAGGCAAGAGAATCACTTGAACCTGGGAGGTGGAGATCACAGTGAGCTGAACTGAGATCACACCACCGCACTCTAACCTGGTGACAGAACAAGACTCTGTGTCAAAAACAAAACAAAACAAAACAAAAATCAAGCCTGCCAAAAGGCAGAGCCTGCCAGGAGCCAGGAGCCCAGGTCTCCAGCCCTGAAGACCATTTTCCCCGCTCTCCACCCTTCCTAAGTGAGCCTCTGGCTGCTGTTCAGGCCCACAGACAGCTCAGGCTTCCCCCACCTTCCCACCCGCCCCTAGAAGTGGGTGCATTTTGGGCATCTCACACAGGACACCTGTCCTGATTTCCTTCTCTCTTTTCTTCCTTCCCTTCTTTTTTCTTCCTTCTTTCTTGTTTGAATTGGTGGCCCAAGCTAGTGTGATCATAGCTCACTCCTGTCTCAGCCTCCTGAGTAGCTGGGACTATAGACACATGCCACCATGCCCAGCTATTTTTTTTTAATTTTTTGTAGAGATGGAGTATTGCTATGCTGCCCAGGCTGGGCTCAAACTCCTGCCTCCACAGCTTCCCACAGTACTGGAATTACAGGCATGAGCCACTGCATGCAGCCTGTATCCCATTTTATTTGTTTATTCATTTTTTAAGACAGAGTTTCACTCTTGTTGCCCAAGCTGGAGTGCAGTGGCGTGAGTGGCATGATCTCAACTCACTGCAATCCACCTCTGGGTTCAAGCAATTCTCCTGCCTCAGCTTCCTAAGTAGCTGATATTACAGGCACGTGTCACCACGCCCAGCTAATTTTTTGTATTTTTAGTAGAGACGGGGTTTCATCATGTTGACCAGGCTGGTCTCCAACTCCCGACCTCATGTGATCTGCCCACCTTGGCCTCCCAAACTGCTGGGATTACAGGCATGAGCCACTGTGCCCAGCCTCTGTATCCCATTTTAAATACATGTTTCCTTTGGCCCAGAAACTCCATTTCCACTGATTTATCCTCCAGATTTACTTGTGCGTGAACCCAAGGAGGCACGCATGGGCTATTGATTGTGGCAAGAGTGGAAACAAATGTGAATGTCCACTGAGCAGTTAAATAAAAACTGGTGCATCCATTTAAGGGAATGCGTGCAGCTTTAAAGGAAGAATGCAGTAAGACCTGTACGAATAAACCCACCTCTAAGACACATTTTTCGGGTTAAGAAAAAAAAGAAAAGTAAAAGAAAAGCAGGCCAGGAAGGGTGGCTCATGCCTGTTATCCCAGTACTTTGGGGTGCCGAGGCGGTCAGATCATTTGAGGTCAGGAGTTCAAGACCAGCCTGGCCAATATGGTGAAAACCTGTCTCTTTTAAAAATACAAAAGTTAGCCGGGTGGGGTGGCCCGCAGGTGTACTCCCAGTCTACTCAGGAGGATGAGGCAGGATAATCGCTTGAACCTGGAGGCAGAGGTTGCAGTGAGCAGAGATTGCGCCACTGTACTCCAGCCTGGGAGACAGAGCAAGACTTTGTCTCAAAAAAAACAAAAAAAGCAAAACGTAGAAGAGTATCATAGTTCGCTCCTGTCAGGTGTGTGTTGAAGAAAAAAAAGTATCCAAAGCTTGAAAGCTTTGAAAGCATAGAAATGTGGGAAAGAGCATGAGGCCGATGTGGCGCCTTGGGAAGGGGCCTGCACACGTCCGGTTGAATTTTCTTCCAGGTTTTGTGGAGGCTGGGTGTTGGGCAGGGACAAGGTACTCACCCTGCTCCCCGGTAGCGCATTAAGGGTGGCTCACCTGGCAGGGTCTCTTTGTGGAGGGAGGGAGGAGGCCTGGGCCTGGGAGCCAGGCTGGGGCTCTGGAGCCAGCACCTTCTTGGGTTCCTCCTTGGGTTCCTCCTTGGGTTCCTCCTTGGGCTTCAGGGGGCTTGGTGTGGGCAGGGAGGGGATCTCCTGGGCCTGCAGCTTGGGCCCCGTTTCCTGGGGGCGTCCTGGAGGCGCTAAGCAGCAGGGAAAGCAGGAGCTAGAGATGTTGCAACGGGGCTTCCTCTGACCTCACAAGGGCACAGAGGCCAGATTCAAGGTACTAACTGACTGGGGAGATTTTTGGGATCACCCCACCCATCCCTACCCTCAAAGAGACCAGAAAGACATGGGAACTGAGACCCAGGAAGGAGAAGGGACTTGTCCAAGACCTCACAAGTCTGTTCCGAGACTCTGGCTTCCCATCCTGGACTGGGGAGGGGAATCTGGTGTTCCCCACAACAGCCTGCTCCTGGCAAGCCCTGAATCCTGTCCTCGCCTGGGTGGGGGCTAAGGGACTCCAGGGGATCCTCCAGGGCCCAGTTAACCCTGGAGCCCAGCCCATGACCATCCCAGGAAGCCCCTCCTGAGCTCCCCACCCTGTACCTGGGTCCGACGCGGCACCTGTGGCACTTTCAGGCTCCTCTCTCCAGACCTGGGTGCCAAACAGGGTTCAAGGTCATGGGCCATAGCAAGCTCTATGTGCTCCCCCCACCCCCACTCCCCCTCTCACAGTCACTCCCCCCCATCAAGAACTCTCCAAGGGGGGCATAACCCCCTCCTGAGTTCCTGTGGGGTGGGGACAGCCTGCAGGAGGAGGCAGGCCCTTCTGGGGCCCCAGAAGCCCCCCAAGTACTCAACTCCCTGCCCCTCCCTTCCTTGGCTCACCTCGGAGGATCTAGGGGGCTGAGGCAGCACTCTCTCCAGATTCCGCTCCAGCCACAGCAGCAGCCGAGGCCCAGGCCTGCGGAGGGGCCGGTGGTCAGCAAAGCACCCTGAGGGAATGGGCCAGCGCACTACCTAACAGCCCACCTCGGGGCACGGTCTCCACGCCCTGCACCCCAGTCCGCACAATGGGCACCTTGCCCTGGAAATTCTCAAAGCCTCCAAGAGGGCAGGAATATCCTGCCAGCCTTCAATTCCAAGCCAGGGCTGGACCAGGCTCTGGAACCTGGGGCAGCAGGGGAGGGGCAGGAGCCCTTGAGGGGCTTGAGGACCTGAGTGAGTGCAGCCCTGGGACTCCCTGTGCTGGGACAGACAGGGCTGGCTGCACGGGAGTGTGACCTGTGTCATCACTCAAGGCCTTATCCTTCAAATAACCTGTTTTTGGTTACATAGCCTGCTGTCACAGTCTGAAAACAGTTTACATTTTTTTAAGGGGCCTACATCTGCATTTGCCCTGGGCCCCACAATTATTGGCTGGTCCCAAAGTCAAGCATTGGATCCCAAATCCATCTGGTCTCCAGGAACCCCCACTCTTCAGAGAAGCGCCATGTTCCCAGGACAACCGGTCCCCCTAAGTATGGCCAAAAAGAAGGTTGGTGAGTCTTCTAGGCGCCCTCCTCCTAAATTGCGCTAATGGTCCCAGGAATCAGCTGAGTATGTCTCAGAAGGAAGTAGAGGGCCAAAAGACACAGAGAGAGAGCTGCAGCAAGGAATGAATGGATGGATGGAGTGTGTCATTATGTATATATGTGTATTCATTCATGAATTCATTTGTTCCATGTGTGCTGTGTCCTCATTCTGTGGCAGGTGCTGTGCTGGGCACCAAGGGTTCATCAGTGACCAGGACAAAAGTCCCTGTCCTCAAGGAGCCAACAGTCTAATGAATGAATGGGTGAAGGAATGAATGAATAGGATGAATGGAGATGAATCCATGACTGTATTTCCAGCAGAAATTACAAACTGAGCCAGGTGCGGTGGCTCATGCCTGTAATCCCTGCACTTTGGGAGACCGAGGCGGGTGGATCATGAGGTCAGGAGATCAAGACCAGCATGGCCAACAGTGAAACCCTGTCTCTACTAAAATACAAAAAATTAGCTGGGTGTGGTGGTATGTGCCTGTAGTCCCAGCCACTTGGAAAGCTGAGGCAGGGGAATCGCTTGAACCCAGGAGGCAAAGGTTGCAGTGAGCAGAGATCATGCCACTGCACTCCCGTCTCTACTGAAAATACAGAAATTAGCTGGGCATGGTGGCACGTATCTGTAGTCCCAGCTACTTGGGAGGCTGAGGCAGGAAAATTGCTTGAACCCAGGAGGCAGAGGTTGCGGTGAGCCAAGATTGTGCCATTGCACTCCAGCCTGGGTAACAAGAGTGAAACTCCATCTCAAAAACAAAAAGTTAAAAAGAAAGAAAGAAATGAAAAAGAAATTACAAACTGGAAACTTCAGACTTACTTTGGGGGGTCTACAGTGTACTGAAAACTTCTTGACTAAAAATGTAGGGTTTTACATAAAAAGCTAGATTTCTAGCTTCTCTAGAAAACCTGGGGAATCTGGCCACACAAGCCCTACAGGCTGCAAGACAGAAGCAGCTGAAACTGACCAGGGCCCCTTCTCGGGGCTCCCTACCTCCCCTCTTTGCCATAGTCCCCCCACCAGCCTGCCACCCTTACTGATGGGGCAGCTACCCCTCCCCGAGTCAGCTCTGAGGAGTCGGATGCTGAGGCCAGCCTGGGCCCCCTGATGTCCTCCACAGTGGTCCAAGCCCTGTTTCCAGTTTCCACACAGAGCCCACCTACATGAAGCCCACCTGTGAGGAGCTCATCCCTGCCCCTCCCTATTCTCGGAGGGTGGCCCCACCCAGGGACCTCCCACTCACCCCTGGGAGCACCCAGGAACCTCCCACCACAAACCATGAGCAGCACATGGTCCACTGTCCCCATCCTATGGCAGGAAACAGGCCCAGAGGAGACAGGGGCACATCCAAGGTCACCCCCTGAGGTGGTAACAGATCCTGCTCTTGAACCCAAGGCCCTGTTCCTCCCACCACACACATACAACAGTGACACTCAGGGACAGGGACTCACCTAGTGTCCTGGGCCTCGAGGGCCTTATTGGGTTCCTCTGTGCACCCTGCAGGGTCAAAAAATACAGAAAGGCAGTCAGCAGCAGGAGACCTGCCCCAGCCCCCTGGGCAGCCTGGAGTGGGCACCAAGAGCCCAACTCAACCGCAGGTTCAAACGCAGGGTCAGTCAGATGAGATGCTCCAGCCTGGGCAGAGGCTCCCCAGGGGTGGGGCCCATCCCAGCAGCCTCGTAGCCCTGTAGCCCCTTAGCCCCGCTGCTGAAAAGCCATCCTGCCCCTTGGTCTTACCTGTGTCCCCAGTGCTGCCATGACCCAGGATCTGCCAAGGACAGACAGACAGATATTGGCAGGGAGCCCAAGGGCAGCCTCCTCCCCACAGCCCCTCCCTGACCCGGCCCCTTCAGTCTCCAGCCCTAGCAGTACCTGAGCCGGGTCCTCCCTGGCGCTGTGGACAGGCTGTGGGACCACCTTCTCCACGCCCTTCATGAGCCAGCTCAGCACTCTGCGGCTGGGACTGTGATAGATAGAGACACCAACCCAGCCTCAACTTCCCCTAGCTCTAGCTCCCCACTGGCCCGAGGGCAGTCCAGTGTCCTAAAGAACTTGGCTTGAATCCTAAACCACCGTCTCCCCACTCTGAGACTTCAGACACATCACCTCCCCCAGAAGCTCCATGATCTTCTTTAAAAAATGAGGGATGCTGATGCTTCTTCATGAGGCCAGGCAGACCGGGTGCCATTCGGAGCCTACCCCCATGGGATGCTTAGGGCGGAGCAGCTGACTTTCCTCTCTTCCTGCCTCCCCCACTGTCCTGCTCTGAGCACGCATCGTGCTCCAGAAGGGCCAAGGTTTGCTGCGGTGTATGCTATGGCAGAGGCTAAGCAGCCTGAACGTGAAGGTCATGGCCTCCCTGCCTGAGGTCAGCCCAGCCCCAGCCATGCTCAGGTTCCAAGCATCATGGGTCTGAAAAGTATCAGTCAACTGGGAGATTCCATGCAAAAGCCTGGATTTCTGGCTTCTCTGGGAAAAGCAGAAGCTCTGACCCCTTTGGACCTGTGGCTCACCAGAGCACTGAGAAACGTCCAGCCCCCTGGACAGGGGAGCTCATTATGCAGCTCTGACCCAGTTTCTCTTGATCACATTGCTCATGTGGCCCAGGAGAACGCACCCTCCACCTGAATCTCACTTCAGCCAATTCCCAGGATGTCCCAGTGCTTTGCCCAGAATGACGGCAGAGCTGAGCTCAGTGCCCATCCCTACCCCAATCCCCAGGGCTCCCTAGCTGGGAGTGGAGTTGGTGGGGGTGGGCTGGCCCTGAAGAGAGGGGAGGGTGGTGCAGTACCTGTTCATTTCTGAAAAATCAGCGCCCTGGGCCTGGACGGATATGGTGGAAGTAAGGGCAGCCTCCTTGGTCTCTGGAAAAGAATCCCTCATCCTTCAGACCTGAGACCTCAGAGAGACCCATTTCTACTTTGCTTGAGATCAAGTCAGGGGAGAGGAGGGAGCCCCCCCCACCCGAGGTCAGAAAGCCAGGCTCCAGCTCAGCTCAGCTAAAGTCTCCAGGAGCCCACCCTTAGCTTCTCTGAGCCCCAGTTTCCTCATCTGTGAAATGGGTAAGCCAGCCTTGTGGGCTTTGCGAGGCTCCCAGGGGAGAATGTGCCCCCCCACCCTACCAGCCAAGCTTCTGCACTCACCCTGAGGATTTGGGTGCGCCACAGCCATTTCCTCCTCCTTGAATGACTCTTCCGGGGGCTAGAGGGTTTGAACAGGACAAGATAAACCCTAGCTGAGATCAGCCTGGTTTGGACAGGTGCAGCCCCTGATTCTCCCTCAAAGGATTCCTGCCCCACAAAAGACTGAATGACTGTCTTCTCAGGATCATCCCTGTAAATCTGGTGGCCTTACCTTCTCCTTCTGGCCCAGACTTTCCATTCCTCCCTAGTAGCCAGGTAGAGTTTGGCCTCTGCCATCTGCCTCTCACCTGCCTCTCACCTGCCTCTGCAGTCATGCCTCTTGCTACCATGTTCACAGATGTGTATGTACAAACACACATGTGCACACATAAATGTGTGCATACTCACTCTCATGCACATGCATACATAAACAGACATAATATGAGCATATATACACATACATATGCATGCACATATACACACATGCACAAACACAAAAATAAGTGCATGCACACACATACAGACAAAAACATATGTACATGTATGTTTGAGCATGCATATGCATACATGCCCCAACACACCTATATGTGCATGCAGTCATATGCAAACATGCATAGACATGCATGCAGGCAGGCAGACACACACATGCCTGTACCTGCCCATGGACAGACACACAACATGCACATATGCATAGATATATTGCATATGTATACAGGTGCAGAAATATGTGTATACATACATGCTCAGTCACACACATGTGCATATTTGCACACACAGATTTCTGCATCAAAATATACATGCACAGACACAAAATGTGTATATATACATATGTGGAGACAGGCAAATATGTGTACATACACCTACACATGACACATTCACAGATGCTCAAATGTGCATACACATAGAAATACATGAGTACACTCACTCAGAAATATGTATACACATACATACACATATACAACTAGCATGTCACAGGAGCACATGGAATCACAGACATACTAATACATATACACACATACATAAACATATGTGCAAACACATACACATACATTCACATACATATGCATGTTCACATACATTGACATGCACACCCAATTTGCAAATACACATGTACACACACCAACATACCAAGGGCACACTACACACACACGTGGATCTAGATGTATATGCATGCAACACATACACATGCATATGACGTCTTGTACCTCAACACACCCTGTTTCCTAAACACACCCTGCACTTCTCTAGTGATGACCTCGCCTCTCCATCTCCCTGGGTTAAAATTCTGACCCACCCTCTGAGTCTAAGAAGCTCTCCCCCACTAGTCTCCAATCTCCAAAGTTAAGATGACTCTCCCTCTTCTGAGCTCCCATGGTTTGGTCTGACATGCTTATTTGGCTCCCCAAGAAGGTTACAGGTGGGGCCAGTATTGGAGCTCACCCTGTTCCCTTCTCCCCACCTGTGTCTCTCGGCAGAATGAACTGGCTGGGTTCTTGTCTGCTGACCCCCTCGGGGCAATGCCTATTCATCTTTGTGCTTTCAGCACTGAGCACAGGCCCTGGCATCAATCAGAAGCTAAATGAAATCTGTCGAATTGACCTGCTGAATTAGTGGCCATCCAGCTCCTGAACGGATGGGCTGCAGAACTGGTAAGTTGTGATTTGCCCAAAGGAAAAGTTCTGGAGAAAAGTTTCTGGAGAAAGTGTGGTGCGTGGACCAGTGCCAGTCTGCAAACTAGTAACGGTCCGTGATGATTAAGCAGTTTGCACCAGAATGTTTATCAATGCGCTGCTTCCTTCAGTGAGAAAGTCTTGGTACAAAACAAATAGCAACTAAACTAATCCGTGTACTCAGCTACATAGTAGATTCACATTCTGGTGCAAGCTGCTTAATCGTGATGGACTAGCATTCATCAGTTCATGCACTGGCTCCTGTGAGTTCCTCTGTTACGAATGCTAGAGGCTGGCAAAATATGGCCTGAGAGCCAAATCCGGGCTGTTGCTTGTTTTCATAAATAAAATTTTATTGGAACCCAGCTATGCTCATTCATTCATGCATTACCTATAGCTGTTTTCACACTATAATGGCAGAGTTGAGTAATTAACAGAAATAGCATCACCCACAAAGCCTAAAACATTTACTATTTAGCCTTTTACAGAAAATATTAGCCTTGAGCAAGCCCAATCCACCGTCTGAACCTGAGTTTTCTAATTTGAACAAGTGTGGGACCCTGTGCCCCTCACTTTTCCTTCTGGCACCCACCTTTTCTGCTGTAGAAGGTCCCTGGAGAGCAACTGGCCCAAACTGGGAAGACCCCGACCAGCGAGGCGGGCCTGCCCCTCCTCCCCCTCCACCTCTCACCATGGACTCGGACTCTGTCTCGGCCTCCTCGGGGTTCGGCTCTGGTTCCACCTCCGCCTCCAGCACTGGCTCTGGTTCCACTTTCTCTTCCTCCTGCATCTTGGTCTTCCGAGGGGTCTCTGGGGGCTGAGGCAGCACCCTCTGGACCCAGCCCAACATCCTGATGCCTGTAAAGGACAGAGTCTGTGGTCCTCCCTGGAGCACTCACAGTTGCTCCCGCCGCTTATGGGCCACTCTTGTGAGCTGCACATTTCCTTTTCCTTCATCAACTTTAAAAATATTTCAGCTGGCTGGGCATGGTGGCTCACACCTAAAATCCCAGCACTTTGGGAAACTCAGGCGAGAGGATCACATGGTCAGGAGTTCAAGACCAGCATGGCCAACATGGCAAAACCATGTCTCTACTAAAAATACAAAAATTAGCCAGATGTGGTGGCAGGCTCCTGTAATCCCAGCTACTCAGGAGGCTGAGGCAGGAGAATCGCTTGAACCCAGGAGGCAGAGGTTGCAGTGAGTTGAGATCATGCCATTGCACTGCAGCCTGGGTGACAAGAGCAAGACTCTGTCTCAAAAACAAAAAACAAACAAAAATTCGGCTTGGTGCCGTGGCTCACGCCTGTAATCCCAGCAATTTGGGAGGCTGAGATGAGCCAATCACTTGAACCCAGGAGTCTGAGACCAGCCTGGACAAGACAGCAAGACCCCCCCCCCATCTCTACAGAATATTTTAAAAATTAACCAGGTGTAGTGGTTCACTCCTGTAGTCCCAGCTACTCAGGAGGCTGAGGTGGGAGGATCGCTTGAGCTTAGGAGGTTGAGGCAGCAGTAAGTCATGATGTAACTGCAAACTGTACTCCAGCCTGCATGACAGAGTGAGATCCAGTCTCGAAAAATATATAATATGTACATACATGTATATATGTTATATGCAAATACACATGTATATTACATATATACACACAGATGTATGTGTGTGTGTATATATATATATTTCTGCAATTATATCTCTAGGTATTTACCTTATAGAATTACTCAAGGCCATAAATATATGTGTACAAAGAAGCTGGTTGCAACAGTGTTATAGCAAAAGATGAAAAACACCCAAATATTCACCAAGAGGAGACTGGCTGTTGGAAAGTACCTACGTGTGCCTAAATGTTTGTCTCTAAGAGGGGCATGTATTAAAAAAGTTACAATATATTCAATAATGGAATATTGTGGGGGCATGAAAAAGAAAGAGGCACTCTGAGCTAACAAGATGTGCATGCTCTGAAGTCATGAGCAGATCAGTTAATGTCTCTGTGCCTCAGTTTCCTTGTCTGCAAAATAGGGATACTAATAGTGCCTACCTCATGGGTTAATTGTGAGGATAAAATGAATTGATAAGTGTAACATACTCAGACCATGAGCGGTGGCTCACACCTGTAATCCCAGCACTTTGGGAGGCTGAGGCAGGTGGATCACTTGTGGTCAGGAGTTCCAGACCAGCCTGGCCAACATGGGGAAACCCCATTTCTACTAAAAATACAAAAATTAGCTGGGCATGGTGGCGAGTTCCTGTAATCCAAGCGACTCTGGAGGCTGAGACATGAGAATTGCTTGAATCCAGGAGGCGGAAATTGCAGTGAGTCAAGATGGTGCCACTGCACTCCAGCCCAGGTGACAGAGTGAGATGTTGTCTCAATAATAATAAGTGTAACATTCTCAGAACAGTGACTGGCATATACAAAGGGCTTAATAAATGTTGGCTATGGGGCCGGGCACAGTGGCTCACGCCTGTAATCCCAGCACTTTGGGAAGCTGAGGAGGGTGGATCACAAGGTCAGGAGTTCAAGACCAGCCTGGCCACGATAGTGAAACCCCGTCTCTACTAAAAATACAAAAATTAGCCAGGCATGGTGGCACATGCCTATAATACCAGCTACTCGGGAGGCTGAGGCAGAGAACAGCTTAAACACGGGAGGCAGAGATTGCAATGAGCCGAGATCAGGCCACTGCACTCCAGCCTGGGTGTTGCAGCGAGACTCTGTCTCAAAAATAAATAAATAAATGTTGGCTACGCCTATCACATGATATCAAATAAAAACACTAATTGTGTAATATCATGTATTGTGTAATCTCATTATAAGTAAAAATATTCATTATGAGTAATATGGGAGTGGAAAATTTAAGATAAAATTAACCTATGTTCATAATTTTTTAATTTTTAAGATTAAATAGCCTGGGTGCAGTGGCTCATGCCTGTTATCCTAGCACTTTGGGAGGCCAAGATGGGAGGGTCACTTGAGTTCACGAGTTCAAGAACTTCTTGGCCAACATAGCAAGCCCCTGTCTCTATTTAAAAAGAAAAAAAAGCCTGGTGCGGTGGTGTGCACCTGTAGTCCCAGCTACTCAGGAAGCTGAGTCAGGGGGTCGAGGCTCCAGTGATCACACCACTGCACCTCTGCCTGGATGGCAAAGCAAGATCCTGTCTCAAAAAAGGAGAAAAAAAAACGGGCCTGGTGTGGTCACTCACACCTGTACACCCACACTTTGGAAGGCCAAGGCAGGAGGGTCACCTGAGGTCAGGAGTTCGAGACTAGCCTAGTCAACCATATGGTGAAACCCCATTTCTACAAAACATTAAAAAAATTAGCTGGGTCTGGTGGTATGTACTTGTAATCCCAGCTACTCCGCAGGCTGAGGCAGGACAATCACTTGAACCCAGGAGGCAGAGGTTGCAGTGAGTCAAGATCATACCACTGCACTCCAGCCTGGGCAACAGAGTGAGACTCCTTCTAAAAAAATAATAATAATAAGACCAGGCACGGTGGCTCACACCTGTAAAAACACCCTTTAGGAGGCCAAGTCAGGTAGATCGCTTGAGCTCAGGAGTTCAAGACCACCCTGGGAAACATGATGAAATCCTGTCTCTACCAAAAATTTAAAAATCAGCCCAGCATAGCAGCACGCACCTGTAGTGCCAGTTACTCGGGAGGCTGAGGCACAAGAATCACTGGAGCCCAAAATGTGTAGATTGCAGTTAGCCAAGGTCGAGCCATTGCCCTCCAGCCTAAATGACAGAGCTAGACAGTCTCAAAAATAAAATAAAATGCTACTAGTGCTATATTTTTTAAAAAGAAAGAGAAAGATACAAGGCCCGGTAAACCTTTTTTCATGGTTTACTGTGTTATTTCAGTCCTACCTTATACAGGTTGTTTCCGGTTGATTTCTCTTTGTGGAATGGGGAGCCCCAGCCCTTATGACCGATCTCCTGTAGGAGGGCCTGGCCATCAGTGTGCTAACTCCTACCCCTGGATGTGCCCTTGCCCCACGTGAGTGTGCCCCACCCCTCTCCCAGCCATGAGCAACCCAGGCATCAGCAGAGTGTCTGTATGCCCCTCTCTTCCAAGGAGTCTGGCCCCAGCTGAAGAGGCCAGCCCAGGCCCAGGATTCTTGCCCCCGAGCCCAGCTCCCCAGAGCCTGTGGCTGTGCTGCCTGCCTTCTACTCACAGCCCTGATCTCTGTTCCTGCTCTGGCATCCGCAGCCCAGTCTCTCCCATGAGAAGCCCTGGTGGGAACGGAGCTCTGAGTGTCAGATTCCCCGGCTCAGCCTCCCAAAAAGTGCACTTGGGCCTGACATGACCCCTCTGGTCTTCCATTTCCCTGAAAGTGGGGGCGCCAACACAATGTCTTCCCAGGTGGGGGCTGCTGGAGCTCACATGTTGGGATGGCAGATTTCACTGACCCCAGCCAACCCCAGGCAGCCCTGAGAGCCAGGGCTGAGCTAAGTGCATTCTACCCACAATCAAAGTCATCCTCATCCTCACCACCACACCCCGCCCTCACACTCAGTAAAATAAGAATTTTCCTTATGGAGTACAGAAAGGTCAACAAAATCGCCCGAAGCAGCACAGCCAGCAGTGGCTGAGCCGAGTTTACACTCCGGTCTGCCCGATTCCAGGTGCCCAACAGCTATTCCCAGGAGGTCGTGGCATTTACCGAGTGTCAGCCTCTTCTACGGGCCAGGCCTGCAGACCCTTCCCAGTGGGCAGCAATTCTGCCTTGCATTTCTAAACCTTCTGGAAAAGACTAACAAAGCCTCCCCATCCCCCACGTTTCTTTTTCCTCCTAAATGAGGAGTGTCCCTGCTGACTGCACTTTGATGAGGGAGGCTCCGGTGGGAAGGGGAACCCATGAGTGGCAGCTCAGGGAGCTATGGTGGTGCCCCACCAGCATTTTCAGAATCTTCTGGAAAGCTAGTGAAAATACAGATTCCTAGTTCCCCCAAGCCCTCCTGAGGGACCTAGGAATTTGCATTCCACAAGCTTTCCTGAAAATTCTGAGGCACGCTAAAGTCTGAGCTCCAGAGGAGAGAGGGAAGCCACAGGTTTCCTGCCGTGCCAGTTTGGTCCTGCCTAAATGCCTTGCTCAAGGGAGAACATGGGGATCCCCTCAGGGGTCCCACTGAGTCTCTATCTCCTCCTGAGTTACCTGCTCAGATGCCAGCCGCCAGTCAGGAATTGCCTTCTCGCTGCCACTCCTAGCTGGCCCCTCAGACACAAGGAAGATTAATTGGCAGTAGCTGGGCCGTGTGCAAAGGATTAGCAGGTGCTGAATGGGGGCGGGGGAGAAAAGAGGCTGTTGATGCCCAGGAAACCAGCAGCCCCACCACCTCTCGGTGTCCATCAAGGATGTGGGCCCTAGGGAAGGGCCTCTGCATGGCCCAGGTCTGGAGCACCATGAGTTGCCAGGGGACCTGCCTGGGTTACCAGGAGCCTGACTTCCCACACACCTTGGCCAAGACGGAGTGGCTGGTGGGAGAATGACAGCCTGAAGTTCCCATGCGATGCCTGGAGACTCCTCAGGGTGGCAGGGGCTTGTTAATTCCCACCCAGTGGTGGCAAGAGGCATACCCCAACTCTCCAGCCCCAGGGCCAGGACTCAGGCAGGCTCTCTCTGGCTTAGGGTCTTCTCTGGGCAGGGTCTCAGCAGTCATGCTTTGGGCTCTGCCAGAAAGGCTGTGTCCCAGGGTTGGGCCTGGAGGATGGATCAAGGACTGGCAGATGACTGGGCATCTGACCTGCCCTGTGAACGGAGGTTGGACACTAGAAGGGATACAGAGATCTAGGAGGAGAGGGTGCAAGGAACAGGGCCCAAGGAAGGGGCGCTCAGTGTGATGCCACTG